TGAGCGACTGCCCGCGTCTAGAGGACCTCTTGCCTGGCGAGGCCCTTACTTTCCTGCAGGAGCGCCATGAGCGCATGTTGCGAGAATCACCCTTGCCGACTGACGTCGAGCCATACTTCGACTCGGTCCTCCAGTTCAACCACAAGGAGTACCGCGGCCTGGTGCGCCGGCTGCTGTCGGCTGGCATTCTGGGATGGACTCTAACACCGAAAGAGAGAATTGGGATGTTTTTCGTGTGGAAGGATGGGCGGCGCCGACTTCGCCTCATAGTCGACGCCCGCCGTACGAACGCCCACTTCAAGGACCCTCCTGGGGTGGAGCTTTTGAGCAGCGAGGGCCTTGCCAGAATCGAGGTGCACGTGCCAGACGCGGGCTTCTCGAATTACGAGGACCTCCGCGCCGCGCTGGAGGCGCAGCAGGTGTACATCGGCATGGCGGACGTGAAGGACTGCTTTCATAGGATGCGTATTGATTCGGCCCTCTCGCAGTACTTCTGCCTGCCGCCGGTCATGGCTGGGGCTTTCGGCGTGACCGAGGTCGAGGGGACCAAGGTGCAGACGTCGACGGCCATCTACCCTTGCTGGCAGGTGCTGCCCACGGGCTTCAGCTGGTCCCTCTACTTCGCCCAGCGGGCCAACGAGGAGGTGAGCCGCCGCAGCAGCGCGCTCCTTCGGGGGCCCGGTCTCTCAGACCATGGGCCACCGCTCGTGTTCGCGCCAGGCAGAGCGTCCCAGGAAGTCAGGCACTACGTGCATGTTGATAACTTGGGGGTCTTCTCGCTCTTCTCTGAACTCGTGAGCGGCGTGATGAACCAGCTGACAGGCGAGTTCACCAAGCTGAGCCTACTGCTGCACAAAGACGAGCTGGTGCCGGACAAGGCAGTAGCGCTGGGCACGGAGATCGACGGGGGCCAATTGCGCACTCGTGTGACCAGTGATCGGTTCTGGCGCTGCCGCCAGGCCGTGCGAGGCCTCCTAGCCCGCCGCCGTGTCAAGGGGTGGGCCGTGGAAGCAGTGCTGGGCCACTTAACCTTTTGTGGCCTCTGCTCGCGCGGCACCTTGTCAGCCTTCAATTCAGTCTACGGCTTCGTGCGAGCCCACTACGACGAGGCGGCCGTGCTATGGACTGAGGCGCGGCAGGAGCTGACGGCCTTCAGCTCTTTGATGTACTTCCTGGAATCAGATTGGTGGCTACCTTGGAATCCCTTGGCGCAGCAGTCAGATGCCAGTCTTCACGGCTACGGACTGGCAAGGGCCTTTTGGCCGCGGGAGCTGGTGGAGTCAGCCGGGCGCGTGCCTGAGCGAGCCCGCTTCCGCCGGCGCTGCGCGCACAGTGCCCGCGAGGCTGCGCTCTGTGCAGCTGGTTTCAGCATGAGCGAGAGTGGAAAATGGGAACTCAAGGGCCTTCCTGAAGTTGAGGAGGAGCTGGGCCAGTGGGACGTTGTGAGGGACTTCCCGGAGGTGCCCGCCCGGGGGCTCCGCGCAGGTCTGTGGGAGCCCTGCTTCGCAAGAGCCTGGCAGCACCCTGAGGGCATCCTGACCTTAGAGGCCCGAGCCCTGGTCAGCAGCATACATCGTATCGCCACCACGGCGTTTGGGTCCCACATGCGTCAGTTGCTGCTCTGTGACAATATGTCGGTCGTGCTAAGCTTCAATCGAGGGAGGAGCTCCTGTTTCAACTTGTTGGTCCAGATTCGTCGATTTCACGCTGTCTGTCTGAGCCGAAATATTCGTTGTTCGGTTCGTTGGATACCCAGCGAGCTCAACTGTGCCGACCTCCCCTCACGGCTATTCGATCCTGACGGAGCAAAGTCCGCCCTTCTGGCTGAGCTGTTGGAGCTCGAGGGCTCCCAGGCGGGCTCAGGGCGGGTTCCCGCCTGGTCCGCGCCTGAGAAGGTAGCCGGTGGCGCCGCGGCCCGCGATGCTGCCTGTGCGCCCGCGGGCGCCGGACGGGCGCGGCCGCTGCCTCGGCCCCCTGCAGACCAGACAGGGCGTGAGGCCAGGGGCGGGACGCCGGCGCACGCGGCGGCCGGCGCCGTCTCGCCTGAGGCCTGGCCTGGGGCCGTCTGCCCAGGGACAGGAGGCGGGGTGCCCGTGGCAGCTTGCCCCTTTGGCGCCAGTGACGCCGCTGCCGTCGCCGGCAGCTCGGCGGGCGCACCTGCTGTGCGAGTCGGAGCTCCTGAAGACAGCGGTGCAGGGCCGTCCCCTGCCGCGGAGCCTGGGGCGGATGGCGGAGGACCTGAAAGAGATGCCTGTGCCAGCGGAGCCCGCTCAGGGAGTGCGAGAGAGCGACGGCTCCTCCGACAGCGGGAGCTCCGAGCCCGAGGTCGAGACCGACGCCGCGCGGCAGCCCAGGCTCGCGCAGTCGCACGAGCGCCTTGCCCGCCACTACGGGTCCCCTTACCTGGAGAGGGAGGCCGCGTGGATTCCGTCGCTGCGCGAGTACCAGAGGGTTGCGACCATTGGCGAGGTCATGGAGAGCAGGGACGATGCCATGGTGACCTCGGCGTTGGTGAGCCAGCTGACCGGACTGCACCAAACTGGGACTCACCCCTCCTGGGCCGAGAGGCTGATGGTCGGCGTCCTGCACTTCAACCCCGACAGGTCGAGCTACGGTGCCTGGCGCCTGCCCCCGGGCTGGAGCTTCTGGACCCTGAGGCTCTCCCCGGAGGAGGAAGGCCCGTGGGAGAGAGCGGGCCTGGTGAAGGTGTCGCTAGAGTCAGACTCGACCTGGATGCGCTTCTTGTGCCCTGTGCTGTGTCAGATGAAGAAGGTGAAGCACGTGCCCAGAGTACCGCAGGAGGTTCAGCCTACGTCTCCAAGACCTGCCAGGAAGAGCCGAGTTGGTGCCGTATCAGGTTTGCCTTTCAAGGGCCTTGGTATGCATGGCGAGGAGGTGGGGGCGGCTGGCCGAGGTGCAGACACGCTGGCAGTGGAGAGCCAAGCGCAGCGTCGTCCGCTACGAGAAGCACGCGCGCCTGGCAGCCACGTGGTCAACTCGGAGCCGCACGGTGCAAGACGTGTTCCTGGTCTGCGGGGTTCAGCTCGCGGACATCATTTCGGATCGCGCCTCGCCGCTCGACTTGCGGGAGCTCGGCTGCGTCTGGCTGGCCAATATGTGGCCGACTGCTTCAGTGGCAAGGGAGGCGCGGGTCGGTCCGCAATGGCCATGGGCGTGCCAGCCAGGTTCTGGGACACGCTGCACGGGCCGGGCGGCGACCTCACCCGACGGAAGGTCCTGCGGGGCTTGTGCTCCGACATCGCCGCAGGCCGCGTCTTGGCCGTGATGCTAGCGCCGCCTTGTGGGCCCTGGACCACCGCTGCCGACCGAGTGGGAGCCATCCGCTCGGCATCGCAGCCCTGGGGACTTCCGCGGCATCTTCTGAGTACAAAACAGCTGGCTCGCCTGGCATCGGGCAATAAGACCATGCGGGCCGCGCTGAGCGTCATCAGATGTTGCGAGAATTTCAAAGTCCCCTGCATACTTGAGCATCCTGTGAATTCACACGTTTTTGCCACGAGAGAGGTTCTGGGGGTTATAGAACGGGGGGCTGTTGTAAGATGTCTCGATCAGTGTCAGGAAGGGGCCCTCTGGCGCAAACGATCAAGATTTTTGTGTCTGAACATCGATGTTCAGGATAGTTGCTGCCTCGATCGTCGGTGTGGTCAGATCAATGGTATTTGTAACAAGTCTGGCCGTCCACACATCGTGCTGGAGGGCAACGCCCCGAATGGTGCGAAATGGACCGCTATCGCTGCCGCCTATCCGCCAGCCCTCAATAGAAAACTCGCTAAAGTCCTTTTGAGTGAATGGCGCGCGTCGTTATATAATCACCCTTGCCCACCCACCCAGTAAACATTCTTGGGAACGGCTTGGGTTGACGGTGCCTCACAGCTGAGCGCAAGGACGCGCAGCCGTTCGTTCATCTGTGTCCCCGCCTTGAAAAGATCTCGGGACGTCCTGGTTTGTGCTTGCGCGTGAAGGAAGTCAAGAGGGGTTTTCATTATGTCGCCCCTTTGGCTCCGCTCCTTCTTGCATCGCATAGCTTCTCTGGTCCCCCGCCCCCCCGAACCCTCTCGAGCATGCGTGCGCACACATGCTCTGTCTCATGTTTCTCTCTGTGGTTGACGGTGCCTCACAGCTGAGCGCAAGGACGCGCAGCCGTTCGTTCATCTGTGTCCCCGCCTTGAAAAGATCTCGGGACGTCCTTGTTTTACGATTGGGCTTTGACGGGTTTAATTTTTGTTCGGCCTTTTGGCATCCCGATGCTCCAAGACGGCCCAAGAGGCTTCCAATACCGCTCCACTATAAAGGAAAAAACCTCCAAGATGGCCCCAAGACGGCCCGCGAGGGCCCCAAGACGGCGCTTGAGGCGCCCAAGACGGCCCGAGAGGGTCCCAAGAACCCCAAGAGAGGCCCAAGAAGGGGAACGCGACCCAGCAGTAGAGCGTTCCCCCCAAAAGGCCCACAGGAGGCCGCAAGAGGACCCCAAAAGCTTCCCGAGGGCCCAAAAGGCCCCTAGGAGACGTCCAAGAGGTTTTAAAATAGCACAAGAGTGCCCTCGATGCGTCAAAACTGCTTCCAGGAGGCCCGCGGGAGGCTTCCGGATTGCCTCAATCTGGCCGCAGGTGGCCTCAAGTCGGGCTTTTTTTTTTTTTTTTTTTTTTTTTGTCTTTTTTTTTTTTTTTTTTTGTTTTTTTTTTTTTTCTTTTTTTTTTTTTTTTATATTTTTGTTTTTTTATTTTTTTTTTTTTTTTTTTTTTTTTTTTTCTTTTTTTTTCTTTTTTTTTTTTATTTCTTTTTTTTTTTCTTTATTTATTTTTCTTTTTTTTTTCTTATTTTTTTTTTTTATTTTTTTGTTTTTTTTTTTTTTTTTTTTATCTTTTTATTTTTTTTTTTTTTTCTTTTTTTTTTTTTTCTTTTTTTTTCTGTTTTTTTTTTTTTTTTTTCTTTTATTTTTTTTTTTTTTTTTTTTTTTTTTTTATTCAGAGCACGCAGCCAAGACGGCCAATGACGGCTTCAGATTGCAGAACCGATGCCCCCAAGGGACCTTCAGACGCCCCCCCAAGAGGCATCCAAGAGGTGCCTCCAACAGCCAGTTGACGAAGCATGCGGAACACCCCAGAAGCTCCTCAGATGCCGTCGCGCGCCTGTGCTTGATAGCGTTGTCCAAGATCGTCCAGCGCCCCCCCGGCCTGGGCTAGAACCTGAGCGCGCGCGAAGCGCGCGCGATGGTTCTAGTACATATATGTATGTAGATGTCGACATGCATGCATACAAATATACAACTCTTTAAACATACATACATACATCCATACATACATACATGCATACAAACATACATGCATACATGCATGTATGCATGCATACATACATACATGTACATGTACATGCATACATACAGATACACACATACTGCATACGTGCACGCACGCGCGCGTGCATGCATGCATGAACACCCATACATACATACATGCATGCATGCACAGCTACATCAAATCACATACATGCAGGCATACCTACCCACCTATCTACAGCCATACCTACATACATCCATCCATACACTCATCCATACATGCAAGCATGCATCCATACATACACACATACAAACACAATTACATACACACATATGCTCACCATGCATGCATACATACATACACGTACAATCACACGTACATGCATACATTCATGCATGCATACATGCACACACCTCCATACATGCATATACGCACGCATGTATGTATAAAACTGTGTGTATACATATATATATATATATATACACATATAACGGCGCACCAGGTCCGGGGGCCCGTGGCCGGGACCTCGACCACAAATGTGGGCCCCGGGGGGCCCGGAGGCTCGTCGGACCGCCGGACGCCGTCCAAGATCGTTCTCAGGCGGCTTCGGAACGCGCTCCGATGGCTCCAGATGCCTTCCAAGACGCCTGTCATGACACCAAGAAGGTCCCAGAAGCCTCCAAGACGCTCCGAGAGGCAGCCCAAGAGAGGCCCAAGAAGCAAAAATCGTGCAATTTCCTTCCTATGGGGAAAAATGTCAAAACACATTATTTTTTCGCATGTTCGCCTCTGGGCTTTCGCCCGTCCAAGACGCCCAAAGATGGCGCCCAAGACTCCCAAGACGGCAACAAGACGCGTCTTAGACGAGGCTTCCGGGAGGGTAAGCGCTCTCCAAGGCTGCGCACGGAGTGGGGAAACGAGGAGAGTGGCCAGGACGGCCCCAAGACGGCCCAAGAGAGCCCCAAGACGAGTTCGAGAGGGGTCCCAGACGGAGAAAGCCAACCTCGAATTCCGAGCTTCCGGCCCAAGAGGCTCCAGGAGGCGCCAAAATGCCGCCCAGAGGCGCCAAAAGGCTCCCAAAAGCACCCCAAGACGTTCCGAGAGGCACCCCAAGAGAGGCCCAAGAAACAAAAATCGTGACATTCCTATAGGAAAACGTATATTTTTCGCATGTTCGCCTCTTGGGCTTTCACCGCGTCCAAGACGGCCCAAGAGGCGCCCAAGACGGTCTACGAGGCCTCCGGGAGCGCTCCAAGGCTGCGCACGAGTGGCCCAGGACGGCCCCAAGACGGCCCAAGAGAACCCCAAGACGACTCCGAGAGGGGTCCCAGAAGGAGAAAGCCACTCTCGAATTCCGAGCTTCCGGCCCAAAATCTCCCAGGAGGCGCCAAAACGCCGCCCAGAGTCGCCAAAAGGCTTCCAAAATCAGCCCAAGACGTTCCGAGAGGCACCCCGAGAGAGGTCCAAGCAACAAAAATCGTGCCATTCCTCCCCATTATGGGAACATGGATATTTTTTCGCCATGTTCGCATCTTGGGCTTCACCGCGTCCAAAGACGGCCCAAGAGGCCCCAAGACCGCCCCAAGACGGCCCAAGAAGCTTCCAAGAGGGCCCAGGACAGCCCAAGAGGGCCCCAAGACGGCCCAAGAGGCGCCCAAGATGGCCCAAGAGGGCCCCAAGACGGGCCCAAGAGGGGGCCCAGAGGGGGACCACGAACCGCAAGCTCGAGCCTTCCGCCCCAAGAGGCCGCCAGGAGGCCCCAAGGAGGCCCCTCAAGAGGCCCCAGGAGACCCCCAAGAGGCCCAAAGGAGGCCCCGAGAAGCCCCAATCGGCCCCCAAAATGCTTCGAACCTGCTTCCAGGAGGCCCCCGACAGGTTCAGAGGCTCCCGAGAAGCTACGTCAAACTCCCAGCGAGCGGCCGGACGAGGCCCCCCACAAAATCACAAGAGGGTTCCAGTATTTGTATCCTTCAGCGCTCTCTGGCCTTCTTCCCCCTGCCCCCTTCCCTGCGACTTTCGTTGACTCAAGCTCGCGCTCCTAGCTAGAACCTAAGCGCGCGCGAAGCGCGCGCGTGGTTCTAGTATATATATATATATATATATATATATGTATATATATATATATATATATATGTCCATCCATCCATCCATACATCCATGCATCCGTACATGCATTCATGCATACATACCATACGCATAGATACATGCAGCATGCATATATGCACACACGCATGCATATACACATGCATACATTAATACATGCATGCATCCATGCATACAACCATAACCGCACACAACCATGATTGCATGCATAGATACATACATACATGCATACATACATACACACGTGCATCCATACATACATACATACGTACGTACGTACGTTCGTACATACGTACGTACGTGCATGCATGCATGCATGTATGCATGCATGCATGCATACATGCATACATACGTACACGCATGAATACACAAATACGTACAGGCAGGCTGACAGACACACGTACAGACATACATGCGAAGCACGCCGCAGTCGCGGATAAGTCTGAGGGGGCGGCAGGGACGTCTGCAGTCTGCGAGGCCTTGGAGAAGCCCGCCGCAGGCGCGTTTTTTGTATTCCAGATGATACAAAAAGCCCGCCGCAGGAGCCACTGTTTTCGTTAAAGCGATGTGGGTGGGTCGCGGGGTGGGTCGCGGGGTGGGTCGCGTATGGGTTGCGGGTGGGCCGCGGTTGGGTCGCGTATGGGTCGCGGGTGGGTCGCGGGCAGGTCGCGGGCGGGTCGCGGGTTGGGTCGCGGGCGGGTCGTGTGTGGGTGGAGGGGTGGGTCGCTGGCTGGTCGCGGGTGTGTCGCGGGCGGGTCGCGGGCCGTGTCGCGGGTGGGCCGCGGGTTGGGTCCCGGGGGGGACGACGCCAAACAACAACAAAAACAAAAACAACAACAACAGCAACATCAACAACGACAACGACAACAACAACACCAACAA